TCTAGCCAGAGCCCTCTCTTACATATTTATAAGTCTACCATTCGTCTTAACTTCGAATGTTTCTGCCGCATTTGGTCTAGTGCTTCTGCTATATATCTCCAGATTCTTGGGAAAGATCCAAAGAAGAATCTGCAATATTATTGGTCCTGACCTTACATCTCGGTTTCAATCAGTTTCCCACCGCTTCAACACAACTACCGTTGTACATTCTCTATAAATTCTTGCATAGTAATTCTTCTAATGAACTTTCCTCGATGTTTTTCTTTTGCTTTGTTTTACGCCATATCAACCTCAATAGGTTATTTAATGCCGACAAAATTTTTAGGATGAGTTCGTATGAATAGAATATGTATTCTTTGGTTTGGTTTATTTTGTTTTACGGCATATCAAGCTCAATGGGTTATTTAATGCCGACAACATTTTTAGGATAGATTCGTATGAATAGAATATGTATTTTTTGGTTTAGATTGGTTTGGTTTATTTTGTTTACGGCATATCAACCTTAATGGTTTATTTAATGCCGACAAAATCTTTATTGCTGGTAATGTTTTTCTTCAAAAATCTATTTATGGGAATATTTTTCCTGAGGAAACATATAGCTGGTCGTATTTTTTCCAAAGAATGTATTGCTGGTAATTTTTTTTTAAAGTATTGCTTTCTTATAATTTTTCCTTCAAAAATTATTGCTGGTAATAATTTTTTATTACAAAGTATTTCTGGTATTAAAACCTATTTTTACACAAGTTTGGGTGTTAAATATTTGCCCATAGCTGAGACCCTAACAGGTGCTACCACCATGGTTCAGGGTGGACCTGGGAACACCAGCAATTAAGAGGTGGTTCCACGCTCCTCAAAACCTCCTGATCAGAGGCCTTGCTGTTGGACGTAGTTTATCGTCTTATCCAGGAAGCGGACGTAGTCTATCATCTTACCCAGGACGCAGATGTAGGTCATTGTCATACCCAGGACGGCTTTCCTCGATGGTACCTTGACTTCATGAATTTAAGTGCAGTACTGGATTGTAATCATTGTAAATGGTGGACTCACGCGTTTTATTCAAGCAGCTCAGTTCCTAGGAACCGACAGCAAGACACCAGCATATATGATCTGATTATGATGATACAGAGACATTGTGCACTACGTTCCACAAATTCCCCCAAACAACATCTGCGCAGGTTTTGAATTCAGAGTTGTTCTTCTCGACCAGTTGCCATTCAAGACCCAGTCTGTCCTGCTTATTTACCCATAGCCGAAGGGAGAAGAGGATTACTACCTTTCCCAAGGCTATTAGCACGTAAGTGAATGTAATGGATTCGACTGGAATTCTCAGATTTATCAATCCGAGCCTCTATCTCCTACTCCATCGATGTTATTCGTATCCCCCCCAACACTACAGACAAATTGTACATATGGGAACTAGTTAGGACTTTATAGAGACTTGAGTTATTATAGTGACGTGAGTAAGAATGTGTTGTTTTGGTGTAAGGAATACTGTGATATGTTTAGGTCAGTAGCTATCTAAGTTTAAGATAAGACAGACTGAAGGTCAATCTTCTCCTAGTCCCACCCTATTCCCCTTGCGCCACATTTTGCATTTCTAAAATAAATGTACATAGACTTTATGAATTTAAGTGCAGTACTAGGTTGGCGATTAGGTCTTATCTTTTTACATTTGAAATGGCTAGATATAACCGTATCTCTATCTATAAAAGGCAGGATATGTGTGTGTGTGTGTGTGTGTGTGTGTGTGTGTGTGTGTAACGAATGCACGGCCACAATTTTCGACAGATTTGCACCAAAATTTACTTGCACATGCTCCAAGTTAGCGGAAAGGCCAAGATAGACTTCGCATTTCCCAACTCCCATCGATACTGGAAATAATCGATTTTTTCATGCTTCTACGCTAGTTTTCATCTAGTTTGCGGCCATTTTCTACTGGCCAGCGTGATAGCCTATAGCTGGCTGCCACGAATAGGCAGGAAGATTCTATTGGCCAGCGTGACAGCCAACAGCTGACTAACACAAATGTTAACTAGCATGCATAACAAAATCGATAGCTGTATTCGTCACAAGTGGGAAACATTTAAATCTGCATGGCATTTTACTTCAATTGGATCATTCGCTTGGTTAAACTCAACGTTGATTCTGATTCCGCAGAACTGGGTTAGGTGTGAAAAGTATTTGTTGTTAACATTCTTTTTTCATTCGGTTTTTCCAGTTACGAGTCCTTTTTTAAAGCTGATCGTTTTGTGTTCATTTTGTTTAGTTCTTTTTTCGTAACAGATTTAATGTTTAGTATCGAGCTTAGAAAAAATTTGCAGTGTGAAGAAGTAAGGCATGTAGCAAGATCAGCACGGCAAAGGGCACTACTTTAAAGGCGAGGAAGGGCAAAAATATTTTAAGTGATATCGATTGCTGTATGAGTCGTACGATTTTTGAATCAAGCACCGGCAACGCCGGGCCATGCTGATAGTGTTCTATAATAACGATCACATTTCTCGCTTGTGGAGGTCTGAGCAATTGCCATGAAAATATTTGTAGAAAGAACTGAGGGAATCCATGACACGTACATATGTTTTTGCTGCTTGTACTTATTTTATGGAATAAGACATATGTTTTCTGCATATGAGACTTATATAGATTTTGAATCTAATGTTTCGAAAAACTTAAAAATATGAAGTTTTATTTATTTTGAAAATTAATTACAGTAAGGGTTTGAGACTAATACTCGATAGCATTGTCATAGGTGAACAAGACAAAATTCATCTTCTCCTGAGTTTTTTGTTACAGCAAAAAAGGAGTAGACTGAAGCTATCCCCTGAAAAAAAAAAGAGGGGACTGAATCTATCTCCAGCTTTCTCAATTAGTTCCAACAAAAAGGGGACTGAAGCTATCCTCAGCAAAAAATAAGGGGACTGAAGCTATCCTCAGCAAAAAAATGAGGGGACTGAAGCTATCCTCAGCAAAAAAATGAGGGGACTGAAGCTATCCTCAGCAAAAAAATGAGGGGACTGAAGCTATCCTCAGCAAAAAAAGGGGAAAGCTATCCTCAGCAAAAAAATGAGGGACTGAAGCTATCCTCAGCAAAAAAAAGGGGAAAAATTTAGTTTCAACAAAAAGTGAGGGAACTGAAGCTATCCTCAGCAAAAAATGAGGGGACTGAAGCTATCTTCAGCTCTCCCATTTAGTTTCAACAAAAAGTGAGGGAACTGAAGCTATCCTCAGCAAAAAAAAGAAAAAATAGGGACTGAATGTATCCTCAGCAAAAAATGAGTGGACTGAAGCTATCCTCAGCAAAAAATAAGGACCTCATCCTCGGCAAAAAATAAGGGGACTGAAGCTATCCTCAGCAAAAAATAAGGGGACTGAAGCTATCCTCAGCAAAAAATAAGGGGACTGAAGCTATCCTCAGCAAAAAAATGAGGGGACTGAAGCTATCCTCACTAAAAAAAATGAGGGGACTGAAGCTATCCTCCTCAAAAAAAATGAGGGGACTGAAGCTATCCTCACAAAAAAATGAGGGACTGAAGCTATCCTCAGCAAAAAAAATGAGGGGACTGAAGCTATCCTCAGCAAAAAAAATGGGGACTGAAGCTATCCTCAGCAAAAAATGAGGGACTGAAGCTATCCTCAGCAAAAAATGAGGGGACTGAAGCTATCTCCCATTTAGTTTCAACAAAAAGTGAGGGAACTGAAGCTATCCTCATCCTCAGGACTGAAAAATCTTCAGCTCTCCCATTTAGGACTGAAGCTATCCTCAGCAAAAAAAGGGAAAAAAAGGGACTGAAGCTATCCTCAAAAATGAGTGGACTGAAGCTATCCTCAAAAAATAAGGGACTGAAGCTATCCTCAGCAAAAAATAAAGGGGACTGAAGCTATCCTCAGCAAAAATAAAGGGACTGTTTATATATCAAAAGCTCTCTCAATTAGTTCCAACAAAAAAAGCGAGGGGACTGAAGCTATTCCCAGAAAAAACTGAGGGGACTGAAGCCTTCTCCAGCTCTCCCTTTCAGTTTCAACAAAAAATGAGGGAACTGAAGGGGCAATAAGCTTCTTGTGGTTTCTGATCTAAAACTGATTGGATGTATTAACTATGTATATGTTTTGTCATAGCTAATGATGACTGGCGGCAATAGATATCCTGCTCGCTACCAGAATAGAAGCACGGTGAATAATAGCGCTTACGGCAATATCACGCTGAAAACACCGGTTCTTGTACAATCACCGTAGTTAACCAACGTCGAACTTGGTTACTTTTAGGAGTACCAGGTGCTGTAAGCCTTCATTTTATTTGTTTGTTAGGGGCGGTAGATTGAGCCACGAACTGAGGAATCAGAGAGCAAAGTTCGAATTCTAGTCGAGTTCATTATATTCACTTACGAAAGAGTTAAAGTAGCAATACATGTCTTCTCCCCCACCTACGGGTAAAATAGCAGGCCAGAATGGAGAAGAAACCTCTGCATTCAAACTAGCCTTGTAGGTCCTGCCACTTTAAGCAAAGAAGCTATGTTAAAAAATAAATCCACATCACATATCTCGAAGAAATTAAATTTCCCCCCCCACTAATTCGAACCGCGACAGAAAATAATGAACTCCTCATGGTGCCGTGGACCTTTCTAATTTTGGACCGCTCGTCAATGACTGTATCATCTACGGCTCTTTAGACGAAGACGTCCAGTATATGCCCAAGGCTGCTGGGAGATGAATGCTTATATCGAAACACCATCTCTAGAGTGGTTGCCGAGCAAGGCTGAAGAGCTTCTATCTGCTCATCAGCACAGCCATCGAAGTATTTCAAATAATTTCGCCAACGTATTACGTTATTATCGAGCATGGTGAGATTCGAAACCCGGATTTCAGCTACGCGTACACAATTTTGGTTAAGTGACTAACTTTGTTTGCATTTGACATTTTAAATTTTTGTAAAGAAAACTGGCGTGATAAAATCTTACAGTTTAATATGAAAGAGGTCAAAACAATCGCACTGAGAGAGTTATTACAAAGAGTGACGAATTAAAAATGAAGAGGGAGGGAGAATAAAAGAGAAAAAGAAGTAGAATATGGCCCGAAAGGGAAAGCGAAGGAACAACAAAAGAGAGAAAGAAAGAAGAAAAGAAGATAGAAAGAAAGAAAAGAAAAGAAGAGAGAAAGAAAGAAGAAAAGAAAGAAAGAAGAAAAGAAAGAAGAAAAGAAGAGAGAAAGAAGAAAAGAAGAGAGAAAGAAGAAAAGAAGAGAGAAAGAAGAAAAGAAGAGAGAAAGAAGAAAAGAAGAGAGAAAGAAAAGATAGAAAGAAAAGAAGATAGAAAGAAAAGAAGATAGAAAGAAAAGAAAGAAAAAAAAAAAAAAAAAAAGAAAAAAGAAAGAAAAAAGAAGAAAGAAAAAAAAGAAAAAGAAAAAAAAAAAAAAGAAAAAAAAAGAAAGAAAGAAAAAAAGAAAAAAAAAGAAGAAAATGAAAAGGAAAAAAGAAAGGAAAGCAAGAAAAAAATGAAAATGAAGAAGGAAAAAATGGAAAAAAATGAAAAAACAAAAAAACAGGAATATTAACTGAAGAAAAAATTCTTTGATCTTCAACACAATTTTTTTTTTTTTTTAAATTTTAAAAAGGCCAATCAGTTTTCTTATAATTAGCGCCGTCTTTCTTTTTGTTCTCAGCGAAGGATTTCCACCCGAAAAAAAAATTAATTCGCAACCTTAAATATCTACAGAAACATACACTGCAACTAATTTTCCGTTCATCTCGGATTAGGTAGCCGATCTCTAACTCTAATCCAATCGCACATCCTTCGCGCACGCGCAAATGCTTTAATGACGCACGTGTGTTGGTAAAGGACGCCGTGCGTGTGGACTCTAAACGATGATTGTTTGGGGTCTTTAAGTCAATTAACAGAATTTAGAGCTTGAAAAAAAAATAACATTATCAAATAGGACAGTGTGAAAAAAAAATAAAGCTAATGACAAAATAAATAATGTATGGCTGCGTATTGATGTCGGGACGAATAAATACAAATGAAGGTTTTAAAATAAAAAGGGCTGTTTAATGCAGAGATGGAAAGATGTATAATTTAGGCGGGAGAATAGAGTGTGATAAGGTAAATCGTGTTAGGTTGTTAGATAAACAGATTAGTAAGGTTGACCGTAAGTGAGAGAGAAAAGTCTGACCCTGAGAGAGAAAGAAAGAGAAGAAAAAGTAAATGAGATAGAGAGAGGAAATTGTAACCGTCAGAAAGAGAGAGAAGGTGACCACAAGATGTAGAGAAGGCGACCACAAGAGGTAGAGAATAAAGGGTTCAATGTGTTAGAGAGAGTAATGAGAATTGAATATGGACGAGAGAGACACACAAAGATTGTTGAACATGGGAAAGAGAGAGAGAGAGAGTTTTGAACGTGTGTGAGAGAGAGAGACTGAGAGTTTTGAACGTGTGTGAGAGAGAGAGACTGAGAGTTTTGAACGTGTGAGAGAGAGAGACTGAGAGTTTTGAACGTGTGTGAGAGAGAGAGACTGAGAGTTTTGAACGTGTGTGAGAGAGAGAGACTGAGAGTTTTGAACGTGTGTGAGAGAGAGAGACTGAGAGTTTTGAACGTGTGTGAGAGAGAGAGACTGAGAGTTTTGAACGTGTGTGAGAGAGAGAGACTGGAGAGTTTTGAACGTGTGTGAGAGAGAGACTGAGAGTTTTGAACGTGTGTGAGAGAGAGAGAGTTTTGAGAGTTTGAACGTGTGTGAGAGAGAGAGACTGAGAGTTTTGAACGTGTGTGTGAGAGAGAGAGACTGAGAGTTTTGAACGTGTGAGAGAGAGAGAGAGTTTGAACGTGTGTGAGAGAGAGAGAGACTTTTGAACGTGTGTGAGAGAGAGACTGAGAGTTTGAACGTGTGTGAGAGAGAGAGACTGAGAGTTTGAACGTGTGTGAGAGAGAGAGAGACTGAGAGTTTTGAACGTGTGTGAGAGAGAGAGACTGAGAGTTTGAACGTGTGAGAGAGAGAGACTGAGTTTTGAACGTGTGTGAGAGAGAGACTGAGAGTTTTGAACGTGTGTGAGAGAGACACAGAGTTTTGAACGTGTGTGAGAGAGACACAGAGTTTTGAACGTGTGTGAGAGAGACACAGAGTTTTGAACGTGTGTGAGAGAGACACAGAGTTTTGAACGTGTGTGAGAGAGAGAGACTGAGTTTTTGAACGTGTGTGAGAGAGAGACACAGAGAGTTTTGAACGTGTGAGAGAGAGAGACTGAGAGTTTTGAACGTGTGTGTGAGAGAGAGAGACAGAGAGTTTTGAACGTGTGTGAGAGAGAGACTGAGAGTTTTGAACGTGTGTGAGAGAGAGAGACTGAGAGTTTTGACGTGTGTGTGAGAGAGAGACACTGAGAGTTTTGAACGTGTGTGAGAGAGACACTGAGAGTTTCGAACGTGTGTGAGAGAGACACTGAGAGTTTTGAACGTGTGTGAGAGAGACACTGAGAGTTTTGAACGTGTGTGAGAGAGACACTGAGTTTTGAACGTGTGAGAGAGAGACACAGAGTTTTGAACGTGTGAGAGAGAGACACTGAGAGTTTTGAACGTGTGAGAGAGAGACACTGAGAGTTTTGAACGTGTGAGAGAGAGACTGAGAGTTTTGAACGTGTGAGAGAGAGACTGAGAGTTTTGAACGTGTGAGAGAGAGACTGAGAGTTTTGAACGTGTGAGAGAGAGACTGAGAGTTTTGAACGTGTGAGAGAGAGACTGAGAGTTTTGAACGTGTGAGAGAGAGACTGAGAGTTTTGAACGTGTGAGAGAGAGACTGAGAGTTTTAACATGTTGAAGAGAGAGTGTTGAAATATGAGAGAGGGACATACACAAAAAATGTTGAATATGCGAGAGAGAGAGACAATTATTCAGGAATATGAGAGCAAGGGACAAGGACAGTTCAGTGTGAGACGTAAGCAGGCAGAGACACATTTTCAGAAGTGGGGGGCAATTGTGTTTACTGTGAGAAAAAAAAAAACGAAAGAGAAATAGGATTTTCTATGAGAGAAACAGACAGATACTGAAGCCTGGGAGGTCGACAAAGAGAGAAAAAAACGGTGTGACAGAAATAAACAAGCAAAAAAATATATCAGGTACACAGACATGAACGACAGACGGTGAGAGAGCGAGATAGAGGTAAACAAAACAATTAGCAGAGTGAGAAGAGATACAAAAATGAAACAAAGTTATTTGGGAGCGGTTGTGTTCACGAGCTCAGGTAAATATGTTGATTGAAGACATTTTTACGACATTTCATTGTTTGCTTAACAAATGAACAAGGATGTAAAAGTGTTAAAAATAAGAGGCGTTAACAGATGTTTGTGTCAAACAAAGCACTCCGACGAAAATACCATCATACACATACATCGTAAAAACTTGAGAAAGGCTTTCTGATGAGGTTCAGAGGGGAAATTCACCCCACACAAAAGCCAATGTCTTATCAGGTACTGTTTGCGACAAAGTGAGAAATATCGAATATATGTATTGAAAAAGAGACAGAGAGGAAGCGAAAATGCAGACCGAGAGAGAGAAGGGGGAGTAAGACAACGAGTAACAGAGAAGGGGGAGTAAGACAACGAGTAACAGAGAAGGGGGAGTAAGACAACGAGTAACAGAGAAGGGGGAGTAAGACAACGAGTAACAGAGAAGGGGGAGTAAGACAACGAGTAACAGAGAAGGGGGAGTAACACAACGAGTAACAGAGAAGGGGGAGTTAGACAACGAGTAACAGCGAGGGGGAGTTAGACAAGGAGTAACAGAGAAGGGGAGTAAGACAACGAGTAATAGAGAGACAAGGGTCAAACCTCGAGTAATAGAGAGACAAGGGTCAAACCTCGAGTAATAGAGAGACAAGGGTCAAACCTCGAGTAATAGAGAGACAAGGGTCAAACCTCGAGTAATAGAGAGACAAGGGTCAAACCTCGAGTAATAGAGAGACAAGGGTCAAACCTCGAGTAAGACTGGGAGTAGGGAGGGGGTCAAACCTCGAGTAAGACTGGGAGTAGGGAGGGGGTCAAACCTCGAGTAAGACTGGGAGTAGGGAGGGGGTCAAACCTCGAGTAAGACTGGGAGTAGGGAGGGGGTCAAACCTCGAGTAAGAGAGGGAGTGGGGGGTCAAATCTCGAGTAAGAGTGTGGGAAAGAGGGGGACCAGACAACGAGCGAAAGACGGGGACTAAATCTCGTGTAAAAGATAGAAACAGAAGGGAGACAGACCTTGAGTAAGAATGAAGAGGCAGGCAAATAAATAGAGAGATTGAGGATATATATCGAGTAAGAGAAAGAGGACACTTAATGACCTTAATGTTTAATGAGCACCCCCCCGCCGACTTTCGACCAGCTATAAAATAAAATCTCGTTAAAATAAATCCAAACAGTCCATATTTCCATTTGTAAAACTTCACAGCAAACACTTTCGGCAAACCTGGACCTTTGCACACGAAAAATAATTAGATAAATAAATAAAACGGAATTTATACATGTATGTTCTTGTGAATTGACAACAAAAATATTAAACAACATTCTAAAAAGTAATAAAAAAAACTAATGCATTGCAATATTTACCATTTACCAATTCATAAAGAAACAAATATAAAAAAAATTTTATACATGAATTTTTAAACGTTTGCTCCCTAAAAAAAGGAACTCGTATTATAGACGAGATACAGGATAAAATCATTTTTAGAAGTGAAAATTTGGTGGTGGCGAGATCGCGCATTCCTCGCGTATATATGGTACTTTTATTTACAGCATGCAAACCGAATTCATTCAGTTATATGCTATGTGTGATACACGCTGAGACGATCAAGTCTCTTTCGATACATGACTGACGAGGCAGATTTTTTCCGCAATAGGTTGCCATTTCTTTCTGCGGTAGACTAGTTGCCATCCAACGATATAGAACCCGGTCTGTCCTGCTATTTACCAATAGCTGGGGTGGGGAAAGAAGAAGATAAGGATTCATACCTTTCCCAAGGGTATTAAGTGAATGCAATCGATTCGAATAGATTACTCAATCCACCGTTCCTCTTAAGTCAGTTATGTGCTATGCGGGATACACAGTTAGGCGATCATGTATCTTTCGATACATGACTAACGAGGCAGATTTTTCCCGCAGTAGGTGGCCGTTTCTTTCTGCGGTGGGCCAGTTGCTATCCAAGGCTATTTACCCATAGATGGAGGGAGAAGAAAAGGAGTCATACTTTTCCCAAGGGTATTAGCAAGTAAGTGAATCGAATGGATTCGAATGGATTCCTCAATCCGAGCTGCTATCGATTACTCTACCGTTCCTCTTAAGTCAGTTATGTGCCATACGTGATACATGATTAGGCGATCATGTATCTTTCGATACATGACTGACGAGGCAGATTTTCTTTTTCCTGCAGTAGGTTGCCATTTCTTTCTGCGGTAGACCAGTTGCCATTCAAGGATATAGCACCCGGTCTGTCCTGCTATTTTACCCATAGCTAGTGGGAGAAGAAGAGGATCCATACCTTTCATAGCGAATTACTAAACATAACACAGAGGGAGCATTAGTGGCAATTGTGTCTTCATCGAGTTCATGCCTTACCCTTATGTGGGAGGTATTTCTGCCGAACCGTATATAAAGCTGATTTTTGAATTCGTTTATTACGTTTAATCTTCAATACAGTACTCTGTAAGCATTTAGAAATAAATTATAACTTTGACAAATTGAACAAAAGTTACATTAAAGCGATCTGAATTGTTGACTGATTTGATTTTTACGGCTTATCAACCCTTTGCGGGTTATTTAAAACCGAAGCATATTTTACATCGTAAGAATATCTGCCTATATTTCTGAGGAGAGGTATTGTAACTATTTACGCTATTCGGACTATCGTCCTCATCTTCGTTACAATATTCACGACGTTTCGGCCGTTGTACGCTCCGGTCACCTTCAGGATCAGTCTATATTTCTGAGATGAGGTATTGTAACTATTTACACTATTCGGACTATTGTCCTCATCTTTGTTACCATATTCACGACGTTTCGGACGTTGTATTCTCTGGCCTTTTTCAGGGTCTGTTTATATTTCTGAGGTGTGGTATTGTAACTATTTACTCTGTTTACATTGTTCGAACTGCGGTCTTCGTCTTTATTGACACATTCATTGAATATGGCAATAAAGATGAGGACAACAGTCCGAACAATGTAAATAGCGAAAATAGTTACAATACTGCATAACAGAAATATACACAGATCCTGAAGAAGGCCCGAGCATACAACGGCCGAAACGTTGTGAATGTGTCAGTAAAGACGAGGACAATAGTCCGAACAATGTAAATAGTGAAAATCGTAAAAATAATTCTTCTTTTTGCGAGTGAATGTTGCATTATTTTTTTTCTAGAGATAAAGATTTTAACAGACAATTACTATTTAACCCATAGAGAGGGGAAGAGTGGATAGATTCGTACATCTCACAAGGATATTTGCGAGTAAGTGAACGTAACTAAATGAACTGGATAGCTATGTGAAGTTAGCTGATACAAAACCATTACATTAAAATAGGGACCAAGTCGTTGGAAAGAAATCTGGTCGCTAAGTGAGGAGTGGCCGTATTCAGCAAATCCTGCGAGAAACCGGTGTAGTTAGGCGTTTGGATTATAATTCATTCTTCTTTTTTTTTTTAAGTCCCCAACTGATGAGTGACAGAAAGAAGTGAAGCATGCAATTTTGGGATCACCTAGCCCCGGGGAATGAATAAAAGGTTCGGCACCCCACGGAGTTATTTTTTTAACCCTCCTGATTTCGTCCTTTTTGTTTCCACCTAAAACAAGACAGAAACCCAGGTAAGAAGCGGGTAGTTTTGAAACTAGAGCAGTGCGGGAGATTACCAATACTTTTCCTATCCCCCAAACAAAAATCCACACCGCCACCACCCCAATTTAGCGCTGACCGTGAAATTACCTGTGAAAGAGCTAACATCTTTATTATCTATCTTGATTAAAACACATCCCAGTTTTGAGAAGGAAGATGATAGACGGTAGGTGTAGTAGTGATGATGAGAGCTTTTAAAAAAGACTTAGCGAAGTAAAAGAAACTAAAGAAAAGGTTTAGTTTGGAAAATTCACGGAATAACGGATCTGTCAATTTCTTTGTTCATCCACACTTCTGTTAATCTAAATCAACCATGCATTGACAAAGATCCTAGTAGATAAGCAACGCGATCAGACACCGAGAACAAATTCAACTAAAACCCAGTATAAAGACCTTAAGTTACTGCCGAGAAATACAACAATATATATATATATATATATATATATATATATATATATATATATATATATATATATAAAATGATAAATCCAGGTCAATATTTTGCCGATTTTCAGCAACTTTAAAAATATATAATAAAAATAACGAAAATCTTGGCAATCCGTATAGATAGTCCCAATGAGGATGAAGTCCTGAGAGCTCAATGTTAATTCAGAGCGAATAATTTAATTGAAAGAAAAAACAGACCACTTTAAGGCTCCATTAGTTATAATTTATTTCACCAGGGAATTTTATTTTTCTCTGGATCTTCAGACTTCAGTTTCGAAAGGTGCGTTTCACCTTTGAAAGTGAAGTCAAAAAAAATCAGAGAAAAAAATAAAAGAAATAAATTATGACTAATGGAGCCTTAAAGTGGTCTGTTTTTAAATTTGTTATATATATATATATATATATATATATATATATATATAAAATCTTAAGTGCCCTGTTTGTGCCAGAGTATGTAGGCCCCTTGCTGGGCTAAAGAGCCACATCCGTCCAGTATATTTTGCAAAAACACATGTAGTAATGGCCGTACTCGGACACGAATTGGCAACCACCGCCATATATATATATATATTAAAAAGAGAGAAACCGCAAACGTTTTTGGATGTAATGTGGATTTTTTTAACAAATATATTATACTTTATTATCCATAATTTTGCTAGATAAGTTTCCGTTCTCGCGACCTTCATCAGGCATAGAGTGGATATTTCCACATATTATTAAAAGGAATTATTTTTTCTTGTTTTTCAATGACAGAGGTGCAGACGAGAGCTATTCCCGAGTTCCACGAATCTGGACCTTCACAAACAGGATCCGTCATCCCACGTACACAGCATCGGCTAGTTTTTATTCACACCTCGTATTCCATTAGTAAGGAGGATGTTCCACCCAAACAACTTCCCCCTGAACTGTTATGCTGTGGAACCGACTCCCGAGAGGAAACTTCCACAGTCACTAAAATCTTAACGTCATCAGGTCTAGGTTTATCTACCTACATATCCTCATAATATGAACTAATTACTCCCAACTTGTACGCCTTTGCATCAATCGCATTCGGTAACACTCTAGATTGAGTGGATTTTGTGTTTTGTGTTATATGAATAATAATAATAATAATAATATAAAAAATCTCATGATATTTTAATAAAATATTTACAAAGCAAAGCTTTTTGTGCCCTGTCGACTGGGGCTTCATAATACGCTGACTGCATCTGTTTAGGGATACACCCCACTAAAGAAGTTTCCTGGGTAAGACGATAAACTACATCCAAAAGAATGGCTTCTGATCAGGAGGTTTTGAGGAACATGGAACCACTTCTTAATTCCTGGTGTTCCCAGTTCTACCCTGACCAGGGGTAGTAGCACCTGTCAAGGTCCCAGCTATGGGCAAACAGTTAACTCCCAAAACACTATGAAAGTGTAAAGTAGGTTTTAATACCAGCGGTACATGTTTGTCAAAAATTATTACCAAAAATGAATTTCTGAGAAAAAAAAATATTACCAGCAATACATTATTGGGAAAAAAATTATTACCAGCAATAAAAGTATTGTCGGTATTAAATAACACATTTAAGTTGATATGGCGTAAAATAAGACAGACAAAAGCAAACCTTTTCAGTGTATATATTACTGTAAATTGCTATCACAAATTATATATAAACATATGTTATAGAATAAAATCTAATAAGAAACGTTTATCAAACTAACATATTATTAATGTTAATATAATAATGTTGATAAACGTTTCTTTTTGTTCTTTATTCTGTCAATCTGCTGGATTTCGATAAGTATTTTATATGTAAATTAATACTATCACTATATATACTCTATAATATTATATAGAAATTTTCCAAGTGTAGTTTAGATGTGGCACAAGGCCGAAAGTGTGGGTCACCTCGTGAGGATCGAACTCACTACTCAGTCGTAATTGTTCTAGCAAGACAAGCTTGCTAACCATTACACCCTTCGAGGTATTACTATATATATATATATATATATATATATATATATATATATATATATATATATATATATATATATATATAAAAATACTATTTAATTAAAAAGCAGAAGATTTAATTAAATTATCTATTAAAATAATATATAAACAGAAAATATATTAAATAATTGTCGGACTTAAACCATTTCATTATATATATATATATATATATATATATATAGAGAGAGAGAGATATATATATATATATATATATATATATATATATATATATATATATATATATAGGATTGGTATATACGGAGTAAATTCTTAAAAAGAGTGCTCAATACAGAGTAGGGTTCAACATCATCACTTGATAAGACACCAGATGTGTTGAAAGAAAAATGGCTATTTTTGTAGAGATTTTATAACATATGTATGTTATAATTTTCGAATAAATAACTATATATATATATATATATATATATATTTCTGTACTATCAATTCATGGCAATTTATTTTTGTTACCCCTTCTTTTTTTTGTCATGAATTCATTTTTTTGTTGTTGTTATGAATATACTTTTAATGTTTCTGTTTCCATTGCCCTAACTGAGATTAGAATGGAAAAAGGGAAGATTGTCTTGCACCAAGATAGTGGGTGGTTGAGGGACAAAACTAAGCTTCATCGATATATACGAAGATCATTAACACGTGTTATTGTACATTCCTACGGATAAAAAAATGTGAAGAAAAAAAAACTGCTGATGTCGACAGCCTAAGCA